CAGGACTCGTGATTGCCGAAGGAGAAACACAAAGCCAGGGAGACACACCAGCTTTACCACACTCTGCAGCCCACAAAAGGCCACCTCACCTGAAGATAACAACCTTTCCTAACTTGGGGAATGCTGTCCTGGGGCTGGATTCTGCCCCAGGCAGCCTGGAGCCAACTCAGGGACAGCCAGACCTCCTGCTGAGTGCTGGGTGCAGACTCTGTGAGCAGGTACAGATCGGTGGCAGCAGGGCCAGGCAGGTTGAGGAAGCTCTAACATGATCAGAACTACTCACAAAATCATCTTTCCACTCTGTCCCTGTTTTAGGTCCACTGAGACCCAGTTTAAACATACTTTGCACTGTCCCGTGTCTGTAGATTGAATCTCATGGAGCCCCAAACATCTTTTCCCCTCTTCAGATAAACTGCTCTTCCCATCAGCACAGTATTTCCACATAAACAAACCTCTGTTTCTTCTCTCTGTAGGGTCTGTGGAAAAAAAGGGCAGTAAACACGTAGGAGGCAGAGCCACCTCAGGTAGTTTAAAAATGGAAGATGTCCTTAATGTTTTTAGACCTACCCGATCTTAATTACCTTAAGTATAGGATCAGCTTGGAAAGGGGGATGAGTCAGTCGTGCCAACAACACACACCCTCCAGAGAGGGACAGGGGCTGCAGCCAGCGGGGAGGGAGGGACCTGGGGAATCAACCTGAGCACAACACGTCAAGGGGGCAGTCGGGGCAAAATCCTGCTGCAGGTTCAGGCAGCAAGCAATGCTGCTCTGGAAAAACCTCTCCAGTGCCTTCCTGCCAAATGGAGGGGCAAGGGAAGAGGGAAACACTGTGCAAGAGTTTGTCCCTCTGCAGTTTAGCTGGTTTAGGATTCTTTTGGTACGGAGGGCTGCAGGAGCCTTGGCCATGTGCTTTAAAGAGCTGCTGCTTTGGAGGTGGAGATGGCACCTTCTTCCTGCTGGGCTTTTCCCCAAGCAGCTTACAGTGTTTGGGGTATTTAGGTCCAGATCCTGTGAAGTCTTAAGCAGGTCACTGGGCTCTAAAATGCTGCAATTAATGCTGATCCTGGGGGCATTTACCTAAGCTGCAGCACTCCAGAGAGTTAAGTGCTTTAGTTCTGAGCCGGTTTTCCTGTCGGCTTAAGGCACCCAAAGGGTAGGTTTAGGACCGATTTTCTTGTTCTCAGCCTGAAGGTTTCCAGATGAAGGCCAAAGCTGTTTCCAGGGTGGTGAGCTCGCAGGGAGACAGGAGAAAAGAGTCCAGGCTGAGTTGTCCCAAAGAGATCAGAGAGGTAAATCTTTCCCAAAACAGTTTGGGACAAAAAGTCTACCAGGGATCACCACAACCCCCTCCACACTGAAACCCCACATCACTGCTGTTGTCCCTGCACTGCCCCATATTTCACCTGGAGCAATTAGAAGAATATTGGTCTTGAATAAAGGCCAAAGCTATAAACTGCTCATCTCTGCCAGGCCAGAGGTATCTCAGGGAGGAAAACCAACCAGAGGTAAATTTAGGCTGGGACTGAGCTACCTGAGGGAATAATCAGTGGAAGCCAAAGCAAATCCTTCTCCAGCTACAGGACTTCAACACAGAAGGCAGTCCCAGGATGGATGCTCATCAAAGCTGGTATCTTGTTGTCTTGTTCTCTTCAGCCAGGCTGGTCTTCTGAACCAGTTTAATGCACAGCTGCAAGTGCACTGGGACAGAGAGGGGGAAACTGCACCCAGAAGTGCATAAAACAGCAGTGCCTTTCAAAAACCTGCGTGGAACTCGTGGCACAGACCTGGGAGGAGCTCAAGGACCCGAGCCAAGCCTGGAGAGTGAGTGTTTACAGGCCCAGTGGAGCTTTCCACTGTGGAGTGAGTGGCCAGCCCACGTTCCCTGAGGCACAGATACATCAGATCCTGGATCTCAGAACCTCTGCCAAAGCCCCCCCCAGCAGCTCTGCAAGCCAGGGCAGAGCAGAGGGGCCAAAGGCTGTCAGGATACCGCAGCTAAAGCAAATATTTACACACCAACAATGCCAACAGGCTGCTGGCTACTACAAGGCCTTCCAAGCCTAAACATCCCTCACCACAGGGAGCAGCAGGAAGCTTCCCCCCCAAGAAAAGCTTTTAAATAGCTGTCTTGTGATACATCAGAGCAGCAGACTGAGTTATCACCTTAATTAGCATTTGTGTGCCCAAAGGGAGCCCCTTTTAACCATTTCCTATCTCCTCATCTCTGTCCTGATTTCAGAAGCAGCACACTCAGCAATGGGAGTACCACCAGTTCTGTCGCTGAAGATAAGGAAACACAAACTGCTAATCACTGCTTGGCATTCCTTGGTGCATAACAAGGCACTATTCCCCAGCAGGAATAACGGGGGGCTGTGCACAAGGCTCTTTACTTCCCAGAGGGATGGGCTGTGTCTCTTGGGTGACCTCATTTCAACTCGGTAATTTACAGTTTGCTGATGCCAGGGGGCTCCATACCTTCCACAGGCCTTCCCAGCCAGCCCGTGGGCACAAAACACAAGCTCTGGATAGCTGCTCTTCCATCCCTTCTGAGAAGAGCCAGAAGCTGCCTCAGAAGGGCAGGGACGGGGAGCATTCATCTCACAAGCATTAATCAATATTTAACAGTCCTCTTTATCTGCTGGAATGGGGATTTAAAAAAAAAACCCACTGCTTTCCTGCTCTGACATGAGCTGGAAACTTTTTAAAGTGGTGCTCCCAGCCCTGTGCTCTCAGGTCAGCTGTGCTTTGTGGAGCTGTTCTGGGCTCTCTGCACAGCTCTGTTCCACCCTTTACCCTTTTATCCAACTCTGCTGAGCAGAACAGAGCAGTCCAAGCTGCCAGTGCAGGACTGGCCACACACAAACACCCTCCCAACCAGGGTTTGTGCCCTGAGGGCACAGCTCTAGCACAGCCAGCACCACTCACATTCCACGGGGTCACCACATCCCCACTGCACAACACACGGGATCCTGAAAGGTTTGGGTCACAAAGGACCTCAGAGATAACCTCATCCAACCCCTTCCAACGGACCAGGTTGCTCCAAGCCCCATCCAACCTGGCCTTGAACACTTTTAGGGATGGGGCAGCCAGAATTTCTCTGGGCAACCCATAGTGAAGAATTTCCTCCTAATATCCAACCTAGCCTTGCACTCTGTCCATTTAAAGCCATCCCCCCTCATCCTGTCACCCATGCCCTTGTCAAAACTCCCTCTCCAGCTCTCTTAGAGCCCCTTTAGGTGCTGGAAGGCCAAAATTAGGTGAGCCCAGAGCCTTCCCTTCTCCAGGCTGCACAACCCCAACTTCCCTCCTAGGAAAGGTGCTCCAGCCCCCTGATCATGTTTGTGGCCTCCCCTGGAGTGGCTCCGACAGGTCCATGTCCCAGAGCTGCCCACGGCGCTGCAGGGGGGGCTCAGCAGAGCAGGACACACACGCACAGTCGGTTTCCCGGCTGCGAGCGCACACGGCCGGCGCGTGCCCGGCCTCTCATCCACCACATCGCCCGTGCCCAGCAACACCCCAGCACCGCTGCTCGGGGCACAGAGCTCACCCAGCCCCGTTACTTGGGGCGCAGCCCCCCCTTTCCCCCCGGGGCTCCCCGGGGCCCACGCGGCCTCCACGGCGGCGCCTCAAGGGCAGGCGGGGGTCGCCGGACCGCGCCGCAGCCAATCAGAGCGCCGGAGCCCCCCTCCCCAGCCAATCAGAGCGCCGGAGCCCCCCTCCCCAGCCAATCGCAAGGCGGGAACCCCCCCTTTCCCAGCCAATCCGCGCGCGGTCCGTCCCCCCGGCAACCCCCTTCGCCCAGCGCGGCGTCACCCGCGGGCCTCGCTGGGGGGACGCGCTCCCCGCGGCGAGGGAACCCCCTCCGCCAACAGCCCCGGGGGCCGAGCCGCCCCTCGGCCCTCACCTGGCGCGGTGGGCGGCGGCGGCGAGGCGCGGGGCGGCGAGGAGCCGGCGGCTGTGCAGGAGCGCCATGGCGGCAGCGGCTCACCCCTCACACCTCACGCTGCGAGCGCCGGCCCAGCGCCCCGCCCCGCCCCGCGCATGCGCCGCCCACCGCTGGGCGCTGCCCCCTGGCGGCCGAGAAGCCTCATTGCAACCGCCGGCCGGAGCGGGGTGTGCGGGATGTGCGGGGCTGTACTGGGCTGTACTGGGCTGTACTGGGACATACAGGGCAGCACTGCACCGCACAGGGCTGCACAGCACTGTGCGTGAGCCGTAGAGAACAGTTCAGCTCCATATGGAGCCGGACAGGTCTGTCCAGGGCAGTGTTGGGTCGCGCTGGGCTGTGCTGTGACACACCGTAATGAACTCTGCAGGGCCATAAAGGGCTGTGCTCGGCCCTACAGAGCTGTACAGGGTTGTTCAGGATTGTATTGGGCCGTACTGGCCTGTGCAGGGCTGAACTGGGCTGTACTGGGCTGTACTGAACAGCACAGGGGCTGCCCCTCCCAGTTCCCCCCCTTCCCTGTCCCCATTCCCACCCCCAGCCCTGGGGGGCTCAGTGTTGAGACCAGAACCTCGTACACATTCCCAGCACCTCGTGCACGTTCCCAGCACCCACCCTGGTGTCAGGGCACTGGGAAGGGGGGTTTGGAAACTGGGGTGTCCCCTGCACGCACTGGTGGGAAAGGTGGCACTGAGACCCCACCAGCGTCGTCACCCTGGGACTGGTTTCCAAAACTGGGAGTGGGGAAAACAATCCTTGGGATGGCCCAGAGGGTGTGGCAGGGTCTGGGAGGGGGAACTGGGAGGTATTTGGAGGTACTGGGAGGTTCTGGGATGTGCTGGCCCGGGACATGAGTGCCCCCAGGCTGCCTGCTCTCTGCTCCCCAGAGATTTCCCAACACCCTTCCACTCCACAGGGGCTTTCCCAAAAGCTCCATCTCCCTCCCCCACCCAGAAGCCACATCCCCACTGGGACCAGAGTGTGTGTGTGGGTGCCCCCTGCCCCTGCCACCCCCCCAGCCCACCATGGGATGGAGAAACAGGGGCTCCAGTCTAGCAGTACTTGAATTTATTAGTAAACTGTTCTTTGGTAAATGATAAAAACACAAGAAGAGACCAAAGGAACAAAACCAACACCCTCCCCCAAAAAAACCAAACCAAACCAAAACATACAATTAAACAAACCAGACAGATGGGTAAAATAAAAAAAAAACAAAATAAAAAAAAAAAAAAAGGAGTTTTCCCCCCCAAAATGGGATTTTAGCGACCTACAGCAAACCCAGGAGCTGGTGGGGAAGCACTGCAGTGATGGGGGCTCCCCTGTTGTGCTTGCTTTGGGGGAGGAGGAGCGCAGGGTGTGTGTTTTGGGGGGGTTTCCTACACGGGGGGCTCGTTGCAGAGCACCAGCTCCAGTTCCTTGCGGTAGAGTTTGCCCCCGTCAGACAGGTTCATGATGCTCTTCCTGTAGTTGGTGAGCTGCTGGATGTTCATCTCCTGCGAGGCAGGGGGGCAGCAGTGAGGGTGGGGATCACCCCTAGGTTGGGATCACACCCCCCCTCCCAGCTCCAGTGCAGCTTCCCGTGAGGATGTGGGGTCAGCACCTGGAGCAGCATCTCCCCCGTTCCCACGGACACAGCGGGGTGGGAGATGCTGGGAGAGGGGAGGAGGAACTGGGAGGCTCTGGGGGGTGGCAGCCAGGCTCTGTCCTCTCTACTTACTTTCTTATTCTTCTCATAGAGGTCTTTCAAAAGCGCATCCAGCTCGTTCTCGTCAATGAAGCCGTTTCCGTCCTGGGTAACGAGGGAGAGGCGTCAGCAGCAGGAAGGGCACAAACCCCACAGTTCCCCCTCGGGCACGGGTGCAGCCTCTCACCCAGGGCTGAACCCAACACCCCAAACCAGAGCAGGGAACTGACCCACCCAAAAACACGTGATATTGGGGATATTTTTTATTCTAGGTTCTATTTCTTTGGGGCCCTCTCCTGGGAGCTGTGTCCCTACCTTGTCGTAGAAGGCGAAGATGGCATTGAACTCCTCCGAGGACAACTTCATCCCCTGGCAAGTGGCAAAGGGACAGCAGAGGGTGTGAGGGAGGGGATGGAGGTGCAAGCAGTGGGAATGGGTGATTATTAATATTATCATCGTCATTATTTTACCTGAAACTTCAGAAGGAAGTTTTCTTGCACGGGCAAAAGTCTGAAAAACAAGAAGGGCGGGGAGGAGCGGGAAGCAGCCAGGAAAACACACTTACTAAACCACAGGGGCTCTTTGCTCGCAAATTAAAGAGGAAAGCAGTTTTCCTTGGAAGCTGGAGCAGAACTCTCCCTAGACACATGGCATTTCAGGTGTGTCTTTCCTTCCCCACTGCTCCCTTCTCACCGCCCCTGACCTTACCGGGACATCTCGGACAGGCCCAGCTTTCCGTCACCGTTCATGTCGAACATCCGCAGCTGTCGGGACAGGAGAGGCACTTGGTCATGCACTGTCTCCCCCTGTGTCCCACCCTGCCACGGGGTGGTGGTGGGAAGGGTCCCCCAGGCCCCACTCACGATGGTCTGTGTGTACTCCTGCAGCTTGGGCTCATCGTAGGGCCGGTTCGCCTTCTTCAGCAGGTCCGACAGGAACCCCTGCCAGGAGAGGGCTGTGCTGGCTGTCCCCATCCCCAGCTCACCCAGCGGGAACATCCCACTGGCGAGCACCCAGCTCAGCCCACCCCGGTGCCCGCAGCCCACCTTGAGCTCGTTGGCCTCGATGTACCCGCTGCGGTCGGTGTCGTACCTGCGCCAGGCCTGCCGAGGGACCACAGCACCCTGAGCGTGGGCTCGTGTCCCTCACCCCCCTGACACCTGTGTGCCCCCAGAACCCCCTCTGGGAGCGTATTCCCCCCCTCCAATGGAGAGGGGTGATCTCACAGCTCCCTCCTCACAGGTGCCACGTGCTGTCCCTCGGGGCCGGCTGCTTTTGTTCAGCCCAGAGTTCAAGCACCGTTGTCCTCGTGGCAGTGTGCAAGGCCAGGCTTTAATATTTAATGCCATTTAACTGCACCCCCCAATTAAACAACAGTGCCAGCTCATCCCCCACCTCGTGCCACAGGGTGCTCTTATTTCAGCCACTGCCTTCACCTGGGGTTTATTTTCCAAGCACAGGCTCCCCCACTCCCCAGGATGCTGCACATTCCCCTCCACCCCAGCCGTGTTCTGTTCCCCACTCACAATTTCCCTCCCACCTGCACGGGTTCACCCCGTGCAAGGCCATGGGGAGGCTGGGGGGTGGCCCAGAGCAGTGTTGGGTTCCACAACACACACAGGCACATTCCTTGGGTACTGTGGACCAACCATGAGGGGGAATTTACAGAACAGCCCCAAATCCTCGCCCAGAGGGTGGGATGAGGCAGCTGGCTGTCCTGAGAGGTGCCCCATCGTGCTGAGGACCGGGAAAACTCACCACACCCCACTCTCCCCCAAGACTGGCACTGCCTCCCCGTCCTGAGTGAACACCAGGAGTTTGGGGGACACTGGGGGAGGTTTGGGCAATTCCAGCTCCCAGTTGTTTTTCCACAGTGGAGCTGGGCCCTGAGGATGGAATCCCACAGGGAGCCCCAGCCCAGCCTGTCCCGCTCACCTCCATGAACTCGGAGCTGGAGCCCACGTGCTGGCGGAAACACAGCAGGAAATTCTCCTCGGTGGGCAGGATCTGGGCCAGCTGTGGGGAACACAAGCATCAGGGAAGGAACACAAGCACCAGGGGCAAACATGAACACTGGGGGGGAACACGAGCGCCCCAGGGGAAGGTCAGGTCCAGCACCACTCACCTCTGCCATCTCGATTTTGCCGTCGGCGTTTTTGTCGTACTTGTGCATGAACTCCTTCATCTTGTCAGCCAAGTTGTCCTTCTTCGAGTCCTGCCAGCAAGGAGAGAGGAGATGGGAGCTTTTCCACCTCCTTCCCTCCCAGAGGAGCCCTGATCCCACTCATCAGTGCCATTCCCAAAGGAGATGGGGCTGGAATGAGTCTGAATCTTTGGGTAGGAGGGGAACAGGGGAAAGAGGCAGCAAAACCAGAAGACGCCCTTACCACGCCCGCCCCTTTCCTCGCACTTTCCAGCTCCTGGAAGAAGTTTTCCAGCTCTTTGCCTTCGATGTAGCCATTTCCTGGGGAAGAGAAAAAAAATGCAATAAGAATTCCCCAGTGCTGGAGGGCAGGAGGAGAGGGATGGATGCTCCCAGGGGACACGGTGTTTGTTCCCTCTGCAGCTCCAAGGCGACCGTGGCAGCAAAGAAACACCAGCCAATGTTGACACTGAGTGTTACATAAACTGGCAGTGCCCAAATTGGCCCAGGTTGGACACATAGCCCTGGACTTGTCCCCTGCACCCACTTGCAGGGCACTGGGGACTTGGTCCATCTTGGTCTTTGCTGTATTTTCTGTATCTGAGTCTTCAACCGGGTGGTTTAAATCAACCTCCCCAACCATCCTGTCCGAGCATCTCCCAACCCAGGACTGGCTCTTCTCAACACACTGTGGGGGCCATGAGGGCAAATGGGGAGCAGAGACAAGGCACAGCATCCCCTCCTGCCCCTGGACACAGGATCAGCTCCAGCAGGATCAGCAGGATCAGCAGGAAGGGAAGGGGTCAGCCCAGTGCTGATCTCTCCCACCTGGGAGCTCCAAAAGGTCCCTGTCCTGTGTTCCCTGTGCCCCTCGCAGCTGACATCTGTGCTGAGATGTGGTTCCTCCAGAGCCTGGGGTATCCACAGCCCTGCTCTGCCTGTGGGATGCTCGTTGGCAGGATGGCTCAGCTGGGGCCCAGCCATCACACAGCTCCCATGGCACTGGCCCTTGGTGGCTTTGGGGGGTGGGGACAGCACAGGGGAAGTCCCAGGGGACCCTCCTCTTGGGTGAGCACAACTCGATGGATCAGCAGCATCCTTCCTAGGAGGGGATGAGGGGCTCAGGTGGCTTTGGAGTGCTGGTGTGAGCTGCTGAGGTGCTTGGCATTCCACTGCTCTTCCCAGGGGCTTTGCTTTTGCGGGCTCGGGAGAACCCCAAGCTGCTCTGGATTCACTTGGGAAAAAAAAAGAAATCAGCAAAAGTTTTTTGAGCTGGGAAAGAGAATCGGGCCAGGAAAAGCCATGGCAAATAACTTGGCTTCCTCCAAGCAGCAGCTTGGACAAGTCTGATCCATGTCCACGGAGCAGCGGGGTGTGGAGTGTCATGGAAAATCCCCTCCGGAGAGCCGAGAGCCGCGGCCCATCCATGTGGCTGCACCTCAGAGCCTCGGGGCGGCTGTGCTGGCAAAGAGGGGACCTCAAAGACATCCAAGGGGACATCTCTGGGGCATGAGGAGCCTCGAGGGGAAGCAGTTCAAGAGATGGAAGCCCCATCGGAGGGGTTTGAGTGCAGGGATGAGCTTGGCTGAAGTAATCCCATCCACCGGGGAGCGAACCCCCCGTCCCTCCATCGGCACAGGGAAACTGCTGGGCACGTTGGAGCTCCCACTTGGTGCGGCCGAGCATCGTCCTTGCCAAGGCCACCTTCTTCCCTGCTCCGAGTGCCTCCTCTCCTGGGCACAGCCGCAGCCCCAGAGCCTTGCCCTGCCCGGGGGCCGTGGGCCAAGCTGGATCCGTGCCCGCCGCTGTGTCCTGGAGATGACAGAGCAAGCACATCCAAGGGCGCTGCAGGGAGGCAGCTGGACACCCACCCCACGAGCTGTGGGGTGCTGGACACCCACCCCACGAGCTGTGGGGTGCCACCTTCCCAGCCCCTTGGTGGCTGCTCCGGTGCCAGCTCCAGCGGTGGCAGGGACTCGTGCCCGTGTCCCCGGGGCTGCAGGGGAGACCCTGCCGGTGCAGGCGGAGCACGCTGAGCTCCAGCTCCAGCAGCACAGCAGGGGAGGCTGCGTGACGCAGTTCCCAGGAGGGTTTTGGTCCCCAAACCTCTCTGCAGGATCAGGAGACCCAGCGAAGGGCAGGAGCCTTCCCTTGGGCTGCTCTTCCCAGCGGGCTGAGCCTCCTTCACAGCACTGCAGCGCTGAAAGAAACTCATTTTCCCATCAAATGATGCTGCTTTTTGCATCCCGCCCCCCTTTCTGGGGCTGGCAGTGGTGGGAACAGGGGTGTCCTGCCCAGCTGTGATTCCGTGGGAAGGTGACATCCCCGTAGTGGGCACGGTCGTTTGCCACAACATCCCTGGGCAGAGGTTTTGGGGGCTGGGGAGCGGGCGGGGAGGGACCGAGCACTCCAGACACGGAGCGATCGTTGCTCAGCCCGCTCCGGGAGTGGGACACCCCCTCTGTCGCCCCTGGCAAGGGTGGGCCCCGCTGCCCCCCTCTCTCCGGTGCCAAGGATGGGTCACCTCCGAGGCGCGGGGGTAGAGGTGGCCGGGGGTGGGCACTGGGCAGGGAGGGGGCACCCCGGAAAGGGCAGGACCCCCAGAGCAGCACCCAGAGGTGAGAGCAGAGCGAACCCCGGCTCTCAGGGCACCCGCGGGACGTGCCAAGGAACCCCGGGGCACTCCGGGCTCAGCGTCCCATGGGCTGGGGGCTCCCGGTGGGGTCCGGTCTGGGGCTCCCCGTCCTTTCCCGACGGGGAGGTCCTGGGGGAGCGATCGCCTTCCCGATCCCGGAGCTTCCACGGACGGGGCTGAGCCCCGGGGGCTCTCCATCACCCCGGAGATTCTCCATCCTGAGGTCTCACTATCCCGGGAGCTCTCCGTCACTCCGGGGGCTCTCCGTTATCCCCGGGCTGCGGCGGTGGAGGCTCTATCCTCTCCTCCGGGATGTCCAGAGACTCTCCACCGGCCCCCCACCCCACTCTCCCGCCCCGCTCCCCCGGGGATGCTCAGCCCGGTGCCCTCCCCGCCGGTTTTTTTGGGGGGCGAGGTGTCCCCCGAGCCCCGGCACTGACCGTCCGCGTCGAAGTGCCGCCAGACGTCGAGGAACTGGGAGGCGGTGAGCTCGGCCAGGTGGAGGTGCGGGGCCTGCTGCGGGCCGGCCATCCCGCTGCCGATCCCGCTGCCGATCCCGCCGCTCCCGGTCCCGTCGCCTCCCGCAGCCGCCTTTTATACCCGCCGAGCCCGCCGCCCGCCAACGCCAGGGGGCGCCCCAGCCCCGGAACACCCGCCGGGCACCGGGACAGGGGAGAGGGGTGGGGGATGGAGGGGTACAGGGATACAGGGATAACAGGGATACAGGGATAACAGGGATACAGGGATACAGGGATACAGGGATGGAGGGATACAGGGATAGAGGGATAACAGGGGTACAGGGATACAGGGATAACAGGGATACAGGGATACAGGGATACAGGGATGGAGGGGTACAGGGATAGGGGGATAGAGGGATACAGGGATACAGGGATGGAGGGATACAGGGATAACAGGGGTACAGGGATAGAGGGATAACGGGATACAGGGATGGGGGATGGAGGGGTGCAGGGATACAGGGATACAGGGACAGAGGGATACAGGGATAGTGGGATAACGGGATAGAGGGATGGGGGGATACAGGGATAATGGGATACAGGGATACAGGGATAGTGGGATAACGGGATAGAGGGATAACAGGATAGTGGGATACAGGTATAGCGGGATAGAGGGATAGAGGGGTAACAGGATAGCAGGATAGTGGGATACAGGGATAGAGGGATAATGGGATAGCAGGATAGCGGGATACAGGGATAGAGGGGTAACGGGACAGAGGGATAACAGGATAGTGGGATAATGAGATAGAGGGATACAGGGATAGTGGGATAGCAGGATATAGGGACAATGGGATAAAGGGACACAGGGATAGCAGGATAACAGGACACAGGGACACTGGAATAATGGCATACTGGGATAACAGGATACCACAACACTGGGATAGCAGAACATCAGGGTACTGGGATAACAGGACACTGGGATAACAGGACACTGGGACACCAGGGGCAGCACCGGGCACTGGGGTTGGCAGCCTGTGCCTTGTCACTACCACCCAGGCACCAGCAGGGCTGTCACTCGCCACCCATGGATGTCCAAGGACACAAAACTCGGAGTGCATCCACCTTTGGGAGGAAAAACCAAGGAACCTTCAGCTCAAGGCTCTGCCATCCCTGCTGGGCTCCCTGGAGGGCCGGGAGCAACGCTGCTCAGCCCAAAAAACCCTTTCCCACCCCGGCTCCCCTTGCCGCTCGCCAGCTCATCGCGGGATTTTCTCTTCCCAAGTTTCCCCACAGCGCGGGGAAATTTCCAGGCCCAAACAAAACCAGCCACACGTGGGGTTTGTCACCGGCGGCTCCAGCGCAGCCTGCCCAGGGGAAGCGTTGCCATGGCTACGGGGAGGGGGGGGGAATTCAGATCCAGCGAGAAGGCTGAGCCGATGGAAGTGCTTAATTAAAGATGAGAAGGCGCCGGGGAAGTTGGGATGTGCGCAGAGCAGGGACGGGGTTGGCAGCAGGCAGCTGTCCGAGGGACTGCCCGTCCTGCCACCTCTTCCTTTCATCTCCAGGCTGGGAAAAAAGGCGAGGTGCCCCCCGCGAACGGCAGGGGGGGCAGGCCCGGGGGCTGAATGCAACGGAGATGGCACCAAACCTGGCTCTAACGCCGTGGGAAGCTGGGGCGGGGCAGGACACCCCACTCCAGGCGTGGGGAGGGAGATGCTGCACCAGCATCCCACGAGGAGAGCCAGACTGGGACACCAAGCAGGCAGATGATGGCCTTGTCCTTCTCCCTGCTGCACAGCACGGCCTTCATGACATGCTGAAGGGTGTCCTGGGCATTCCATTCACATTTCCTGAGCTCTGGCACAGAGATTAGACCCAAAACTCCTTTTTTTTTTTTTTTTTCCCCATTATTGCAGCATAATTTTCCCCAGCAGAGCCCATTGCTTTTCTATCCCACCCCTCCAGAGCAGTTTTTTCCTGGGGGGCTGGGAGGGGGACACTCAGTGCCTCTGGAGGGCTGGATTTAGGGATGTGCCTCCAGCTGTGCCCAGGCTGGGGAGAGAAGCAGCACAGGGACCTGGCACTGGTCCACCCAGCCCAGGGATGGCTCTGAGTCCCCAGCCCATCCCAGTCCCACTGCCCCACAATGCCCAGCTCTCTGCTAACAGAGAGCCAAGGCTGGTCCCAGGTGGGACCTGGGAGCAAATTTTGGGCTCTGGGTGCTCTCCCTGCCTTCCCTGGGGAAATCCTTCAGGATTCCTGCCAGCAGGAAAAGGGGCTCGTTCTGCAGGAAGGGATTTGCTGAGGCTGAGAAAGACTTTTAGAGAGGGCTGTGAAGCTTCAGGCAAGCCAAGCAAGTGATGGTTGTTCTTCTGTTTGGAGCCATCTCCCACAGGGGTGTCTGGGCACAGGGCACGTCCCCTCTGCAGGAGGAAAGGCTGCATGGTTCCCTCCAGCCCTCAGCCACTTCCCAGCTCTGAAATTCCTTCCTAGGTCGGATCTCAGGAAAAGGTTCTTCCCCCAGAGGGTGGTCAGGCCTGGAACAGCCTCCCCAGGGCAGTGGGCACAGCACCAACCCCTGACAGAGCTCAAGGAGTGTTTGGACAACCCTCAGGCACACGGTGTGGTTCCTGTTGTTGTCCCATGCAGGGCCAGGAGTTGGGCTCGATGCTCCTTGTGGATCCCTTCCAACTCAGGATATTTTATGATTCTCTCTGAACATGCCCTCAGGTTTCACAAATTCCAGCCCATCCTGCTGTTTAGAGAGCCAGGCTTTAACTGAGCAATGCTCCAGGATCAGCCCCTTTGCCGTGCCCCACATCCCTCCCCGCTGCTCTCCACACTCAGCCTGGCAGGGAAGAGTTGAATTCTTTTCAGCACATGAAATCCACGCAGCTTTCAGAAAAAAAACCAAAAAAACACACCACTATAGCAGAACCCCCTTAATTCAGCTGCAGGGTTTCAATAAAGAGAGGCATCTGAGGGAATTTGGATAACTTGAAGGCGAGGCACATGCTCACTGCTGAGCTGAGGCAGATAGCACAGGCTTTGAAAAGCTTTCTGATTTACTTTTCTAGAAGAAAGAAGGCAAAAGGCAAACCTCATGTGAAAGAAAGTCTGGAAAAACCGAGCCTGGCAAAGGAAACAGGATGATGGATCACATCACCAATTTTGGGGAGTTTCAAGGTTGTTTTGCAGGTACCGGCAGAGATCTCTAATTAAACACTCATTATGTGGTCCAGTCAAGGGCTGTGGCAGAGATTTCTCCTCTTGGCCTCCCACTTTGATGTGGATCCCACAGCAGTGTAACCCCTCCATCTTCTCCAGGGGACTGGAAGCAGCAGGAACCCATGATCCAAAAATCTCTGGAACAGTGAGCAAGGAAAAGGAAAGGGCTGGCAGAGAGGATGGGCCAGACTGGCTCACAGATCCTTGGCTGTGGGCAAAGCAGGAGCTGTGCCAGCTGTGCCCTGCACGGACACAGGTTTTCCATGGATCCCCCTGCCATCATCCTGAGCTTTGAGCTCTGGCTCCCCAGGGATGTGGTGCCCTGGGGTCCCTCAGGGATCTCTTCCAGCCTGGTGTGGAGTGCAGGAGTGCTGAGCACCTCCTTCTTTTCTACACAACACAAACAAAACCACTCTTTTCAGGATCACAGCAGGTTTTATTCCCTCAGCTCCTTCCCCACGTGCCTTACTCACCTTGCATCATTGTATATCAGACTTTTGAAACTCAGCAGCAATAAAAAAACCCTCAAAAAATTGTATTAAAAGGATGTCCAAAGCCAGACAAGCCCACTCTGTTGATTGTGTTCTCCCTCTCCCCCATAAAGCACAGATAAGATCCTTTCCAAAGTGCCCAGGGCATCTTCCCTCTCATCACTTACAGGGACAAAAATGAGAACGTTCACGCAGAGTTTGGGCCATCCAAGCCAACCCTGAGCAGCAGAAAGAATTCTGAGCCCTAAACTGTTTAAGGGCTCAAATGCTATTGAGAAAATACTTCTTTAAAAAGAAAAAATACATAATTTGCCAGAGATTCCACAGCAGGGTGATTTTCAGATGGGATGTTAAGTCACATTTAACTGCATTCAGGCACAAGAGCAGGGGCTGTGCCTCCGGGACAGCTGCAGGGAGGAGCAGGCCCAGCCTGCTGGAAGCAGGTGCTGCTGCCAAGCATCTCCTCATCATCTCCAGCCCCGCCCGAGAAGCACCAGCACAACAGCAGGTTTTTTTGGATGCTTCCCTTCGCATCCCAGCCCAGCCTGACTCTGATTAATTAATGGAGCCCGCTGAAATCCCAGCCTTAGCTACTCTGGCTGCTGCACAGCTGCCTTCCCCTCCCACTGGAGAGGCTTTGTATTTACCAAGTATTAATTAGAGGAATGTGAAGCACCATTTTCTAGGCAGGGGAAATGATCAGCTCTCTCCCTGCCCTCTAACAAGCCCATACTGGGGCAAGCCTGAAAAGGGAGCAGGTAGAAGTGGCTCCTTCTCGCTCTGCACATCTGCCACTTTCCGCATTTCACCGCTTGTGCTGCCCCACGTGACGAGCACTCCGCTCCTGCTGGACCTGAACAGGCAACAGCCTTGTGGAAGATGGAGCTGGAGCTCTCTCTCCCTCTGCAGATTAGACCAGAGCTGGTCCTCGAGACCGTCCTGACAGTCAGAGCCACCAAAATGGAAGAGCTGCTCTCTCCCAGGGCTCCTCCGAGCTCCAGGAGCTGCCAAACAAGCGATTCTGCCAGAAAAGCACAAGCAACAAATCCTTCCCCCCACTCTACAAGCCCTCCAGACCAGGCTGGGCAGGAATGACCACAGGTAACCCTGCCCACGAGAAGAGAAGGGGACAGGGTGGTCACCCAAGATCTCCCCTCCACCTGAAGTGCTGTCATTTCACGGACAGCAGTCCAGGCACGGCTGTTCCTCCTGGTGGCAATATCTGCACCAACACCAGTAATTGCAGCATGAAGGGAGGGCTTCCAGCAAATCCCCATTTGGAAATAAACTGGAAGAAATGTCAGGGAAGGCCGAAGGCTGTGACGGAGGGCGAGCGTCAGTGGTAAACAACCGAGCAGCTAAATTTAGGAAGGCAGGTTGGGAGCTCTCCATGACCAGTTGGG